GCCTTTGGCTGTTGCTCTTCGTATGGTTTTGAACAATGTACAGGACTATTTATGTGGCACACTTATGAGAAGCTCCAGGCAGATCCAACAGTGTCAACAGAAGGTCTGGAAGTTGATATCATCATATATAGGCCACCTACTGTACCCTGCAGGGAGATAGGTTGAGCACAAACGTGTTATTCCAGCTAAAGCAGGTCACATGAGACTCATTTTACTTGCAGGAGACAAATTTCCACAACAATTCTCAAAGGGGGATTTACCACAATTGGTGAAGGCTGACAACGTCATTGCAGAAGCAGTAGCTTCTGTAAGGAAGGGAAAACCCAGGTTAGTTTGGTCCCCTACGGCAGCACTGTGATAAAGCAAGCGTAACTGATTATAAATACACTACAAAGAGAGTGCACCTACATTTAATGCATGAAATAAAGAAATTCATGATATAAGAAAATCATGGTTGAGAATATCTGTCCTGTACTAATGTCAGCAGGCAGAATGTAGCAGTGACATTGCTGATGCAGCTCTAGTTCACACACACTCACTGCTTTCCAATTACTGAACTGAAGATAACGTGCAAGGACAGCAATTTTCTGCCGATGCCTTTTTTTTTGTTTCAGCAAAGCAGACCGGCACTCAGACTGGACGTCAGTGTGAGGCACATCGGGGTGTTTTTCACTCACAATTAGTAAAATATGCTCATTGTTAAGGAGCACTTGCTGGTTGGTCTGCGTGGGTTACCTCCTACCAGAATCACATAACGGATTGGATGGCAGAGGGGTGATGTGAAGTCTTGCGACACAACTGTCAAGCCATTCACCTCATTTATGCTCTCCTTTCTAATGGCTGAAAGCGAATAATGAAGCAAAACTTAGATATCATTCCTAAAAAAACACTTCTGGTGCCAACCTACATGCCATACATGAGAAAGAACTGAATATTAGCTCATCAACTAACACCAATGATGCTCTTGGATTCACATATATTCATGTGACGTTTAATTCTTGGCAATATCCGTGCAAGATTGCAGGGTATTCTTTCATTGTTCCCTTAAAACATAATAATATATTCCTTTATATTATTGCATTTTGATTTTATTATGCAAACTCAGCAGATTTGTAAAAGAATCTTGTACCCCACTGTGTTCTTCCTGAATGTAAATGTGTTTGGCTAATGATGTAACATAACTGTCACCAATAAAGTTCTGTGTTCCCATAAAATGCTGTGGCCCAAGTAGCCCAGGAGCACAGTGAGTTGCTTTGACCTTGAAACCACACTCCAGGAGCACTGAAGAGTAAAAACTGTCACAAAGCTTGAAAAATCTGCTAGAGAAAAATCACAATACTTCAACAAACTAAAGGCAGAAAAGACTTTAAACGGTGCAGCTTCAATTATTTGTCTTTATACTATGTAAAAGACATCTCTGCAACATTCAAAGTGCTAATCACAAAATATTTTACTGGTAAGCAAATGACAGAACAGCTTGTTGAAACTGCCGTATTGAACTGCTGTGAGTAAATGGTGCAGTAAAATGAGGTATCGAAAACATTTGGGAAATAATGTGTCAAGATGTTCTTGTAACAAAGAGCCTGCTGAAAACAATAAAAGCCAATTGCATTATTACAGTGGGGTTTTAATACTGCAGAAATCTGCATTTCTCTTCATTATCTGGCTAAACACTGGTTATTAGAAGAACGGGCCGAGGAAGGGGGCGACTTGATGGGCTCTGTGAGGGCCAACATGGGTGCTGTTTGTGGTCTGCTTAATATTCAATGAACGTGGTATACCACCAACAATGGAGGGTCGGTTCATTAATGATTCAAAGAACCATTCAGCTGCTCCAAATTGCAATTTTGATGTTAAACCGGATCCTTAATAAGGGTATATAATTGCAATGCACAGAAAATAGCCTGGTATGAAATGGACTTTAATATTACATGTCACATATTTACATAATAAAATTCACGATGGCTAAATTTGGTTTAGCTGGCTCAGTTTAAGGGCTCTGGTAAAGAACCATTCATAGCAAACCTTCTCACATGCCTGATCTGGAAAAGGATAGGTCTGGTAGTGTGTGTGTGTGTGTGTGTGTGTAGACAGCAAACTAATTGACAGACGCATTGTGTCAGGCATACAGCGTTGTACTTGTATTGTATATGAGATCATTGTGACACTAAATGAAAGATCGTCATATGTTTGTTGTAAAAAAGAAAGGCATCTAATCGAGAGAATGTTTTAAATAGGTTTCATATTGTTGTTATCTTGTTTCTTTCCTTTCTTTCCTTTAATGCTCTTGACTCCTCTCTTATCTTTTCCACCAGCTTGACTCAGCAGAACGCGCTGCTAACCATGTTCTTATTCTTGCCTTATTATTGCCAAAACAAACCGGAAATAAAATAACATTGTTTCCACTGTTTTCCAACTGATTATAGGCAAAATTTCTACAATGAATGAGTGCTCTAAATGGATTAACTGGGAGTGTAAAATATTGTTTAATATTTCTATTTCTGTTCATTATTAGACCTTTAAAGCAGATATTTGGTGTTGTTGTGGTGTGAGAGAAGATAATAGAGTATACTAGGTTGTAATTCTGCGGCTGCCACTGCAGGATCATTAGCAATGAATGATTTAAAGACTGCATGATTTCAGATGCAGTCTGCTAGTGGCAGTATCTTCATACTGATTAAAGACTGCTGCCAGAGAAAGTGATAAACAAGCGAACATAGTAGAATGCTCAAGCAGGATTTAGGATAGAGGTAGTGGATTGATCAGCTGAACCAAAAGTGATTTTTCTAGCACCTTTTACGCTACCCATCATATGTAAATGACAGTGCTTTCATTTAATCGGTTATATTATTTCATTCAGAGAGGTTTGGTGTGGTCTCACTCACTGGATGCTCCTTTAAGGTGTGAGGTTTCATTGGAATGTGTTTCAAATATCCTCTCGGGGGTGCAAAAACAGTAAAAATGTTGCATGCGTGTTTGTTTTGCACAGTGAGATTTTTAATTTCTCTGGCTGAATCCAAATGCGTCAGAAATACAAATGTGTGTAGATAACTATGTGATCGTTCACACATGACAGATCACATACAGAGTGAAACGTGGCAGCAGCTGCTTGTGATGGACTGAGAACGTAATTGCTCCATAATGTGTTTAAGTTTAGAAAGTCCTACAACAGTGCTATTTTTGTAGCCGCGTGTTTACATGAATTATACAGATGTAAACACAGTACAGCCCACTGCTTCAGCACATAGCAAATGGCCATTCACCAGCCCTGATCCCTGAGTGGGAAAATCTATTCTCATGGCTTCGATTCTGTGTTTGTTGTCCTCAAGTTTCTACTCATAAGACATTCACAGAGTTTGAGTCTGACAGCATGGACTGAATCAATATGGTTTGTATTGTCTCTGTGATAAGACTTTAGTCAGATGATGGTTACAAGCACCCGCAGGAAGGGCAAAAAAGGAGCCTTGGAGAATAAATGCTATTAGAAATGCTGCTAAATGTCATAATGTGCTGTAACTGTTTGGAAGAGTGTTTACACACATTTGTTGAGCCCACTGAGATTGCACCATGTGATGGTTATTACTGGAAATCTCCGACTGTGTGCATACAGGGCAGGAGATCCAGCACTGCTTTGTAGCTTTATTGAAACAAAAATACAGTTTATGGCAGACGGTGACACGGCCCTCCAGTCAGTTATCAAAAATAATGCACAAACACATTTAAAAAAATCAACTTTATGGTTCCTACTTATGCTGTATATGCTAATAAACATGCTGCACAAGCAAATACGGCTTATTAAAAAAATACATTTTGGTGTCCAGCTTTAGACCAAGATTTTGGTGGACTAATATCTAACACGTTACTTGAAAAACCTCCCATGGGTATCCAGTTTGGTTAAGATCTGATGATTGTGTGAGCTGTAGCACAGGCTCCACTCATTTCAAACTGTTCGGTGAGCCCCCTGATGACCTCTGAATGAGACCCTACCTATCAGGAAATGTTTCACTATGGGATAAATGTGATCACTTAATTTTCCGCCTATCTGTAAGTAGTTTATCTTGAATGGTGACGGGTCTCGTGGATTTTTCGGCCATGCCTTAAAACCCATACAATCTCTTTAACACAACAAAACAGAGAATTGTCTGACTCAGCGCTCTGTAAAATTTAACTGCACATACTAATTACAGGATATCAATAGCCGCTTAAGGTTTAATGATTAGTTGTGATAGAATAATGGTGGGACTGTGAAAAGGGATCTCCAAAGGTTACAAATTTAAAGCTGTCGGAGGCAATAAATAATGGGGAACAGTGGGACACTATGCAGGATAATAACAGTCTAGAGAAGTAAAAGATAAACAGGTGACAGAAAGGAGGGAAAAAGAAGGGATACTATAAATTGCATGCTTTATTTAAAACAAAAGAAATATTGTTCTTTGACACTATTTTTCATGTGATGTTTGCAACAAACCTATCTACCTAAACTTTAAGAAGAATAAGAAAGATTTGCTTGAGTGTGATGACAGAGGAATCTTTTGTTTGTTTGTTTGCTTAGAAGGAGACAGATAATCTGAGCCCTACAGTGTACTCTACATTAATGCACACATTTGGGGTCAGGTGATGCTCTCACCTCCCACAATGCAGCTGTATGCTGTTGTGATCTTTCTTCTATGATTTGCGCGCATGTTAAATATCTGTTACTTTGAAAGGAAAGGTTTCTGGTCTGGCTGCCACACACACACACACACACACACACACACACACACACACACACACACACACACAGCTGCTTTACTGACCTGTATGAAAATATTTTAAGCTGACTTAAGTGTGCATAAATGGGCCCTGTCCTCCGAGCCCTGGAGTCTCTACACAATATTTTATTTATTTATTTATTTATTTATTGCTGTGTCTTACTGTTTTTCTGATATCTTGCATTGGTGGCGGCAGAGAGCTGCAGAAACGAGATTATCTCTCTCCTCCAGAGCTACATCCCGTTATATGAGAGGAGAGAGAGAGAGAGGTGACCATAGGCACCGCACTGCCGTCTGTTCTCACCCACAATTCCTCTGAGCAGGAACCGGCTAATTTGTGTCATCGAGGCAGAGAGAGGGAGATCCCGAGGACAGGAGTGGAGGATCCAGCAGAACAAAGCGGAATAATTGGTGCATTTGCGGCACACAGAACTGGAAAATTGGATTGTATTTATCTTTTCTCGATCTTTTAGACTCTACTTCCCGCTTCGTCCTGTTGCGTTGCAAGCCCTCATTGTGGCCGGAGTGATCTCCTCCTTTTGTGTGGCTCTGCAGTTGTTTATTCACACTCCCAACTTCTGCCTCCTGTTTCTGCAAATAGGAGGTTTCGTTTCTATTTTTCTCGTATCTGCCTAAACGGAATGAATGACAAAAACAAAGGAGGTTGATGTCCACAACTCTCCGACTCACCTCGTCTTCGCCTCGCCCAAGGAACGAAGACTCCATCTCCGGCAGAAGATGGAAAGCGGAGGCGGGACGGAGTGCTCGGATAGCGGCCAGGCGCAGCACGCGGTGCCCGGTCAGCAGCCCGAATCTGCGGACCTTTCTGCCGTGCTGTCCGCTCACACTCCAGGCGAGAAGAAGAAGATCAACCGGGCCCCATCTCCGGCGAGACCGAAGGATGTACCCGGGTGGTCGCTCACGAAGATCCGAGGAGGGATTGGGACCCCGACCCTGAGTGTCAAGCCAGGAGCCATTCATCTGGGTAGCCGCATATCCAGGCGCAGCCCCGTGGGAAGTCTTGCTGGGAAGGACGGCAAAGGGGAGAAGAGTGGTGGCGGAAAACCCGCCAGCAAATCCTCCCTCTCTGGTGGCATGTCCTCCAAGGGCTCGGCGTCCAAGGCCATCAAAAGCACCGTAGCGCGGAGGAAGGTGTCGGACGCCAGCATAGGATCCGATGATTTATCCAAGGATTCTGGATGCGCCCCGGGGAAGCTCTCCCCAACCGACAGCAGCTCCGAGCTGTCGGACTGCGCCTCTGAGGAAAACAAGCTGTCCACGGACGCTGTGAGCAGCGACGCCGAGTCGAGGAGTAGCAGGGGCGGCGGGTCGGAGTTAGAGAAGCCGCTCAGGGATGGCGCGTTGGCGGACAGAACCAGCCAACAAGCTGCTGCTGCTGCTAAGACCACCTGCTCCTCCGGAGAGAAGGACCGGCTCTCCACCGGTATCGAGACGGGAGAAGGGAGCATATCCCCGGGCGAGGAGCGATCGGTCACCTCATTTGATAGCCGGGTGCCCGCCAGCACGTCTCTGGCTTTCTCAGACCTCACAGAGGAGTTTATGGACAGCATGCACGAGGAGTTTGTCAGGGAAATAGAAGAGCTGAGATCTGAGAATGATTACCTCAAAGTAAGTTCAGCATATGTCAGCTCGTGTTTTTGAAGTTGCTTAACCTACATAGTGCTTCACAAACAGGGTTTTAGTCTTTTTTTTCAAGCAGTGACACCAGATTTTGCATGGGTTCCCATGAAAAACACTCCTGACGTTGGTCACATGCATACACCTGGCCTATTTAGCAATTTGACGTCATTGTCATTTTTCATTCCTTAAACAAATCATCTTTCTGTCATACTGTTTTATTCCAAAGTCTGCCTCTAAAAGTCACTCTGACCTGCTTCTCGCTGTGTAGAGATTCCTTTGGATGCCTCCCAACAGTACTCACTACAAGGATGTTGATGTTATAGAGAGTCTGTCTGCACCCCTGGCCACGCATGAGCACAACATGCTGCTTCCTGGTGACAGAATAGGTTTCTGATAGAAAATCTGCAGTTGCAGAACGGTGAAATATTGTAAATGGTTAACAATGGTGTGCTTTGGATTGAGATTTTGCACTTGGTGTTCATCACTTGTGCTTTGCATGCTGGCACAGTGGAGGTACGGTTCATTCTGCTGCTGTATTCTGCTTTGCTCCTAAAGGCATTATTAATAGCATTGTATTAACACAGAGGTAGAGCGCTGTGTGATTGCCTAAAGATTCTCAACACCTAAAATGTGGAAGTAAATATGGAAATCCTGCAAGCTGTGAATTTTGAGTGGGGTTTTCCATAAAAGTGCAAAACTCTTATATTAAAAAAGAGAAAAAGATCCTCTACTGGCAGCATTGGTATCAAATTCCTGTTGTCTGTCAAACACTAAAGCATCACTCTTGAAAACAATAACTAAACAATTGTTGCATTATCCCAAAGTACCTCAGCTCACAGGAGGATTTGATTTCATCAGTGTTTTTGATAGAATAGGCATCTCACAGCTCCCACAGTACATCTGCAGGCAGTGAAATGTATTATATACATCGAGCTGCTGGTCAAGCCTCCCTCCAGAGTGATTGATTAAGGCAAGGATCAGCTAGGGAACATATCCCCTAGCACTACCTGGCAGTGACCAGACAAGCCAGTGATTGTCAGACATTGATTGCCTATGGTAATTGATTAGCAGTGCTTGTCTCTAAGCAAAAAGCACTTTCCCCAGGAGTTTCTTTAACTGTTGGGGGTGTTTTGATCTTTGGTTTAGTTTCTGGTTGCCCACTCCTGGTCCCCAAAATACTCCTTTCTTTGATCATTAACACACGTCATCCTAGTTGGTGCATATTTGGTGCAGTGTGTGGCTGCTGATGGAATATGGGGCATCATATCACATTGGACCACGGCAAAGCCCCACGGGAGGGTTGGCAGTGAAGTAAGTCTGGCTGTGTGTGTTGTTGCAGCTGCGAGGAACACCTGGTTAGTGATCAGACAATCAAAACAACATGCTGCAGAGGCATCAGGCTCTCAGACTTATCATAAATCCTTGCTGTAATGCTCAGTCTCCAGTTCCTTCTCTTTGTTTTCCACCGCTTCAAAATTCATCTTTTTTTTCCTCCTTCATGCTTTACATCTCCTGCCTGCCAGTCTTCCACCGCCATCCTATGAATATGCAGACTCTTTCTGGGTGCCGAGCTGTTTCCCATTCAGCTGGTAATCACCGTAGGAGATCAAAACAGTTGGCAGCTGTTTGAATCTCATTAGTGGTGACTTTATACCTTACTGTTTGTGTTTCTGTTGAAGCTACAAAAGAATATCTGATTAGATGTTTCACGTACCGCACACGCAGCATTACTGACGCCTGTACTTACATTCCTGCTTTCCTACACCATGAACATACACCGTCAGGTTGTAGGTGCCATGCTGACAAACAGTTTGACAAATTGTTGAACGCAGTTTAGTCACCGCACGCCTTGTCAAGGGGGGAACTTACGCTCAGTATAGTTGAATCATCATTCAAGTCCACATGCTGTATTTCGACACAATAAACCAGGAGTAGGGACGTGCTGCTCTCCATATTATGCCTAACCTGACACAGTTTCACAAAGAAAGACAAGATTTTCTGGATTTAATTTTTAGGAATGTCCGTCCTGTGACTGCAATTTAAACAAACAGATGAGCATCTGTGCAGCTTGTGCAGATGGCTGTTGTCACTTACCGATTAGGAGTAATTTAAATTGTAAAAGACGACCTTGGTGGTAGAGTTAAATAGTTGAAAACACAGTGGTAATAAATGCAATGGTGCCTTCAATGAGTCATTTGATCATTTGTTATGATCCCGAAGGCTTAATCTGAAAATAATAATAACAATAAACATACAGGATCTATGTAAATATAGCAAATGTGATAGAAATGCACAGAATAGCAGCTTGTATGCTTCTTGATCTGCTGCCTAATTGCCTAAATGAACATAAAAACCATACAGATCCACTATGTTTATGTTTTGTGTTTATATTTAATTTATGTTTAACTCCTCAGACACAAGGTGTTGTATAATCAGGCCCATCGTATCACCCAAAAGAACACTTTGCTCTGAGACTGGTTCCTCTGGGATTTAAAAGTAGAATGGGAGGCCTTCAGTTTTCAGGCCCCTCTTCTGTGAAACCAGCTTCCAGTTTGGGTTTGGGAGACAGACACTATCTCTACTTTGAATCTCAAAACTTCCCTTTTTGATAAAGCTTATAGTTTTGGCTCTGTCAGGTGACCCTGAATCCTCCCTTTTTAAGGCTGCACTTGTCCTAGACTGCTGGGGACTTCCCGTTATTAACCAAGTGTTTCATCTTCACTCCTCTTTTTTCTTTTCACTCACTCTGTTTTTACACCGCTCCACATTTAATCATTTGTTATCATTTATCTCTGGCTCTCTTCCGCCGTGTTTCGTTTATCCTGTCTTCGCCCTCTTACCTGAGCTGTATGTGACAGATGGCCACCCCTCCCTGAGTTCTGGGAGGTTTCTTCCTGTTAAAAGGGAGTTTTCCCTCCCCACTGTTGCCAAGTGCTTTCTCATAAGAGGTTGTTTGATTGTTTGGGTTTTCTCTGTATTATTGTAGGCTTCTTTATAGAATAGAATACACATACGAATGTAAGAATATGAGAGTCAGATGAAAACCTGACAATGCCACTCTCATGTACAAATAAAGCTGGGAGAAAATACTGAAAGCAATTAGCTAAATCACCTCGTACACAACTGACAACAAAATATGGTGGGTTTCAGATTTGCAGAGCCAGGTAGGGAGGACTGTTATCACAGCAGATGTGTGCACACACTCATTTCTGACATTAACCACTCTGACTCACTAACATGACAGCTGATTGGTTGATTTCTTCTCCTGACTCGCTCACATGACAGAGACCTTCTTCACAGTTCTTCTTTAGTTAGCTGTGAAAAGCAGGTCAGTGGACCATCTCTCTCCCTCAGTCTCAGTCTCTCACCACATTAACTTATGATTCCCTGGTTTCGTGTCCTCACTTCCTCACTCTCTGCTGTCATGTTTTATCTCCCTCTCCATCTAGATAGTTTTCACGCTCTGTTTTTTTCCCTATCTGATTTTTCTTTTCCTGTTTCCCATTTACATTCCCTTTTATTGCTTTGCTGTTCTTTCATTCCTTTTCCTCTCAGTTTCAGAATTTGGGTTTTGTTCTTGTGTCTGCTCTTTCCCTTTGATTCTTTTTCATGTTATTAACTTTCATCCTCCTTTCTTTTTACTTCATTCCATTTCTCTCGTTCACTCTGTTCTCTATCACAGATGTGTAGCAGTGGCCAGCGGTGTGCCACTCACAGAAACATTACTAAATCCATCCATTTTACTTTACCTGCTCACACGGTTATGATTCATCCTTGTACAGTTTAGTGCGTACGTAGTGGAGACGCAGGCACACACTGCTCACCTTGCTTTTCATATTGTGCACATAGTAAACATACAGACACACAAAAATACACATGCACACACACCCGCACAGCTTGTTGTTGCTGCACTTGGAGCTCTGCAGAAGCTGACCCACATTCTTTACTGTAGTAAGTCATGACAGCACTACTATTACTACAGCCGCTCATACTCATTTGGCTCATTATGCTAACACATCACCCACACAAACACGCTCATACTTAGAGGCAGGGATTTTTGCCAGCACACGTTCATTTAACAGTTCTGTAAGCACATTGTCGTGCTTTGCCGTAAAACAGAGTGACCTAGACTTTTCTTTTTTTATGGGGTGTGATACTTGATTTCATTGGAAACACAGACAGAGCTGCGCCTTAAATATGATTCAGAAGTGTGATGCAATTCATGCTGTCAGGCTGAAATGAATAATTCATCTGCATGTGACTAAAACGGGGGTAGATAAAAACACTGGTTTGAATGAAACATTTATACTGGTCTGTAGTATTTGTGAGTTGTATTTTAGTGCAGTCCCACACTATCCAAATACTCTGCTTAGATTTTGAATTTTCTTAATCCACAGATGCCACATCCTGGAGTTTGCTCCAAGGTGTGCTAATAGCTATACCCTGACCTTTGGTCTCCTTAGCACTACCTTCGGAGTGAGGCAAAAAACAAGAGTACAGTTCACTGTCATATTATCTTACTCGGTCATGCAGTTCTCTATTTTGCATGGCCCCTTTTATCTGATGTAAGAAAATATTGCAGAAGCTCATTTTAAGAGGACACTGATTGTTATGCAATTATGAGGGTGATAAAGAAGAAGATGTAGTCATACATGGCAGCAAGAGGTGATTGATGGACTACATTACGATGTTGGAAAGTTTAATGGAGTGATTTTCTGATGACAGTGATGATTGCCTTGCATTTATGACAAAATTCCTGTGTGTGCATATAATGCTGTCAGCTCTTTACAGCCACTTAGAGCCTGATGTTCAGTCAGAAGTCTTTACACCTTCTCCACAGGTTAACACTGGAGGAGTACTTAGCTATGTGTAAAAATAACAGACGCACTTATATACTCTCTCATTTTCATTGCCCCAAGGATGAGATGGAGGAATTGAGATCTGAGATGCTGGAGATGAGGGACATGTACATGGAGGAAGACGTTTACCAGTTGCAGGAACTGCGGCAACAGCTGGAGCAGGTATGTGGTTACAAAGACAGACTGGTTTAATGAGCCTGACTGATCGCAGATCTTGCAAAAATGACCTCGTGAAGAAAGAATTCCACTTATTTTACATCTGAAAAGCAAATTTGGGCTCCAAAAATAAATGCAACAAATGCTCTTTCCTGCCATTTTATGTTTTCTGCATTTCTTCTACATGCACATGACTGCTGCAAGGAACAGTGCAGTGAAGCAAAGTACTAGAGATGGATTAGACAGCTGATGCATAACATGATCTGCTGACATTGCCCCTGTTCCTCAGGCAAACAAGACCTGCCGCATCCTGCAGTACCGGCTGAGGAAGGCAGAACGACGCTCTATCCGCGTGGCCCAAACAGGACAAGTGGATGGAGAACTGATACGAACACTAGAGCAGGATGTAAAAGTAAGTGTTGGAGACTGAGCTGGAAATTAAAAGATGTGTGGACTCAAATGAAGTTGGTCTCAAAAAGAGTCAAGTGGAACATCGTTAGATGTCTTGTCTTTAATCCCAGCATCTCTAAGGTACTCAATAATAAAAACACAGCTGTCAGGTTTAATTAGCTAACGAGTTAATTAAACTTCTTCTACCATCTTTGATCTTTAGAAGTAAAATATACAGAGATTCAGGCATTACACGCTCGACCTCTGGGCAACCACTTTCAGTCAATCTTGGAGAATCCAGCTTGCTGCGATTTGCCGTAGACTTGGCATCTTCAAAGCAATTGTTTCAAAGGCGACAAGATCATAAGTTCACTGCACACGGTTGCATAATTTTTGCTATGCAACGGTCTTCAATCACTATTTTTGTGACATAAGAGAAGATATGTTTGGATACAGTAATGCTTTCTGATGATGTGTCTGTATATGGAGATTCCTTTGACCCAGTTTTTGTCACACTCTGAAAGTCACAAAACTGCATCGAGTTCGAGCTTTTGTTTCTGAAGAATTTCCTTCCTTTTCCTATAAAATGGGCTATCTGTAATAACCCACTTATACAGGCAATTCATTTGATTAGTCAGGAAACCCCCACCAATGATAAAATCGGTACATTTTAGACACTATAAATGTGTCTATGTGCACAGTCTGTTTTGGTAGGGCCTTGCAGTAGCTGTACAGGAACACGGTGAGTTTAGGGCAAAGCCTTTGTGTGTGTGTTTTGTCACACTGACCCTGGACTACCGTTACTCTGTGCGAAATTTATAGCATTCCTCCAACATTTTCCACGTGAAGGACGACACAATGAGGGCTTTTTATCCTCTAAGAGAGAGAGAGCGTGCAAGAGAGTGAGAGCGTGGAATCACTCTCGAAGGGCTTCCCGCCCGCTGCTGCTGTCTGTCTCTTAGCTGCTGTATCACCATCTGGTTGTTTTGGAAGGAAGGAGGGAAGTGAGGACGGAAAGAGGGAGGGATGAGTGTACATCCTGTGACTAAAAGGGAAGGGGGTGGTTGGTCAGTGTTTGAAAATTCAAATTGGCCAATGAGAAAACAACTCAAAGGCAGAAGGGAGTCCCTGTTTGAATTCAGTGGCCAGTTGTCATGTTTAGAAAATGAGAGGGGAGTGATGGCAGGGATGATGCATGGAAAGACTAAAGCTTGAGGGGGAAAATGAGCTAAGTCTGCATCTGTTGATTGCATCAGCAAAGGGGTATCGTTAACACAGAAAGCTGAAAAAAATCACACTGCTGGGAGACAAGTCTGCCCTCTCTGTGTCTCTCTCTCACAACACATGGCTGATTGTGCCTTGTTGCCGACAGGGCCAAGGACTCAGATGCCAGGTCAAGTTACAACATACTGTTCTGCATGTGTGTTCGTGTGTGTGTGTGTGTGTGTGTTTGCATGCATTAAGCCGTGGCTAAGCTTCTCTTTCTCTAGTGTGTATCAGCCACTCCTCTGTTTATTCTGGTAGCTTCATTATTCGTATTTTAAAAACACACACTCTACCTACCCCTATGACTCCACTGTGATTAGGCTGTACTGGAAAACTTTAATCTTCACTTTGCTTTAATAGGAGTTAAAAAAAAAATTGACGTTGTTTAAAGGTTTTCAGTGTTGCAGATTTAAAAGCTCTGAATTTCTGACTCAGAACATAAAAGTTTAATTATAAAAACAAGCGAAATTGTTTGAAGACTCTCCAACTTTGCCATTAACTAAGTCATAGAAACCAAAATCATCCAACTGTGCATTCAAAAATGAATGCACAGTTAATTAAGCAGTAAGATGCACAAACACCCCCCAGTTCATCCCCACAGTAAAAGTAAAAGTACTGCACAATGTACCATTTTAAAATGAAGCCGTTTTCTGTATTAATTTTTTAAGGATTTTTTTCCCATATTTTTAACCAAACTGAATTTACAAATACTCTGTTTAAAAATCAATAATTTACTGACATAAAATTACTTGGATATTTTCCTTTTTTAAATGAAATCTCTTTTAGTACCCTTATAATGGTTCATCATAAGGGGATGCATCATAAATTTTTACACAAAATCTACCAGTGTAGCAATGGTATGCTGGCGTCAGTGTTCTTATCCTTTAATAGGCATGAAGTCCAGAAGGCCAGACTCAAAAAAGCCCAGTGTTTTCATTTGTACACAGAAGTGCATTAAGTAGTAGCTCTATACTGCCCCTTTCATAGTGCAATGTAACATAAAACTATCAGTTTAGATTGAGTGGCTGTTGCTCCATAAGATCAGCTAGTGATCCAAGTAAAGGGTGGTAAGTCCCTGAGGCTTTGCAAGATGGTCATAAAATAACTAATAAACATTCACTGATTCACCTTTTTAAATTACTCAACTAAAATCAAACAATACAAGAAAAAAGCTCCACTTTGGTTTTCACTCCTTATATGTAAGTTTCGTTTTGACAGTGGGTTGAAAATACATGTTTCTTTGCATTTACAGTAGGCCTCACAAAAGCTTGGTGCAATGCCAAACAGCTATCAAGTATGACAGTCATACTGATTATCTTAAACAAGAGTAAACATGAGTGAAAATCTCAGTGCTTCTTCTTCTTCTTGCTCCAGAGAAATGTGCAAACTTATTGTACAAAACGTTTTATTGAGCTACGGTTCTTGTGGTTGACGCGCCCCAGTGTTTTTGCACTTCATGGTCCAACTTGACCTTGATTTGCCGAGCAGCTCTGCCCTGAGCTGCTTTGCAAAAGTAATTGGCTTAACTACTGTTGATGCATTAGATTCGATGACTCACTCGCATGCAAGTGGAAACAAATCAGCAAAAGTACTCCTCCTTTCCTTACTCTGCCTCTTTCAGTCTATTCTCAAGGCCTTTAGTTGTCCTTTAGGGAGAGCACGTGGGCTGAAAGTCAGATGGAAAAAAGTCAGAATGACAAGTGAAAGAAATGGTGAACTAGAAAGAGTGTGTCTTCACTCTAATGTGTTTGTCATGTGAATACTTTCTGACACAAACATGTCCTTATGTACATCATGTGCTCTTATTTGTGCCCATTTAGAAATCTTGCGGGTGTCTGCTTGCATGTGACTGCCTGTTTTTATATGTGTGTTTGTAAGGGTTCAGTAGGTCTACAGCCATCAGACTCTCTATGAGAATTCCTGACATCATTTCCTGTCCTACTCACTCACTACTCTCATTCCCACAGGCAACAGGCATCTGGACACACAGAGGAAATAGTTGTTAGGATTCTCATGATGTTAGCTCATTGGTACTTCACATTTCCAGAAAAAAGTCAGTTATTCACTCACTTGTCTTAAGGGTGTGACTGTATCTGACTGTATCTCAAGTAGATTGTTTTAAGATGATTTCCACCTGAGAACAAGTAATATTTTAAAAGGATATAGTTTTAAAAGGTAAAACTTTTAAGGTGAACTTACCCTTTTCAGAAGATGAGTAGATTCCCTTTGTGAGAGAGATTTACAAGGTGTTTAGCATAGCTTAGCATTAGGCCTGGGCCTTGAACACTTCTTTTAAGTTGCCCAAATAAGGAGGCACCCCTGCCCTCTGCAGCAGTGAGTGTAAATCAGGACAGCTTTACGGTGCTTTGTACAATATTTATGCTACATATGGTACCTGTGTGCAGTCTGTGCTCCCGGTAATGTCAACACGATATATAAAGTAGACCATAATAATTTGACAAATATTTATGAATTCTTTTTCTCGTTTTTCTCTGTTTTGTCATTTAGTTCAGTTCATTTTTTTCCATTTTAATACTTCCTATCTCTGTACCACACAGTAGATGTGTGTGTGCGTGCGTGTTAGGGGGAGGGTGTTTCCTGTAGATGTTCTTATAAATGCATTGTCACTTGGTCAAGAGTCATCCTGCCTCTCACTCATTCACGCATGAACATCAGACAGACTTCCAGCTGAGAGGAACCATGTTTTTTTAAAAATATACTCAACTAACCACAAGCTATAACCTCAATGCATCTTGAAAAGTTACGGACTAGACAAGATGTCGTCACTCTGAAAGCCTTACACTAGTTCTCACAAAAAGACAGCCATCCAAACGTTTTTACTGTTTAATAACACTGTGTGAGTTCCAGTAAAAATGTTCCTCTTGTGTTGCTCTCACATACACATACACACGCACACAAACACACACATACTGTAGGAAGTTGCTGTTTCCATGCGTGTGTCACGCTTTACATTTCAGGAAGTGAACAGTAAAATGCTTATATAGAATTATTTTTGGATGTTACAGAGTCCAGCAGAAGTGCTTATAGCAACAGGACGTGCCCTGTGAAGAACTACAGCAGCTTCAGTCCCACCCCTACTGAGCAGATACCTGTTTGTATGCATGCATTAATGAAAACATGGTTAAAAATGATTGCTGGTGATACTGGAGGCGAGATCACACATTCCCAGCATGCCAGCGACTGTGAGAATTCCTCACTTTTCACCACCTCTCTCCCTCCTTGTGTCTCTCTCTCTCACACCCTCTTTTCTAAGATAGATGGATCACAGCTTGCACAGCTGTCACAACACTGTCTGTTTCTCTTCTTCTTTCACACATAATGGTTTATATATAGACACGAAGCAGACCACTTGTGACGTAACACCCTCTAAGTGGGTACTGAAGGGCCAGAATGTTGGACGACTGTGGAAAAGGTCAGCATCGTGAACAGTAAACATCAAGACCAGGGCTACCTCTGTGTCACCCACCGTCTCCATCAAAATCAGGCAGTTCACTTGAGCAAACTTAAATAAAATGTGTTCTCCTCACCTTTACCTTGAATTATATTTGAAGTTTAATAAAAACAAATGATAGAGTCATATGGGATGTTTTCTTTCCTCCATACTGTGATAAGTTATCATTATCATGGTTGTGTTTTGAGGGCTGTAAATGATGACAGGACTCATGCAAAATGATGCACTGATGCAACATTAGGCTTTTCGAAGCAATAGTGAAGATATCCACTTTGGATCACTGA